TAAAACGAAGCCATAATCGGATGATTCTCATCATGTGCTTGTTTGAAGAGTGACACAGCTCGATTATACGATTCGAGTGCTAGACGATGATTACCTTTATTTCGATGAACATTACCGATGCTGTTGTATGTGATACCAATTCGTACATGATTGGATAAGCGAGTTTTTACACGAACATCGAGTGATTTCTGATACCATTCGAGACTTTTATCATAGTCACTTTTCATATTGGCAACCATACCGAGATTATGATACAATGCGCTTAGAGAGTGATCGTTCGATGGAAGTTCGTTCAACAATCGATGATAGTACTTTTCGGCCACATCGAATTTTCCCAATCTATATACTAAATAACCAAGTGAGAGAAGATTCGTTTCCTCTACGTCGTATTTGTTCTTTATGCGATCAAAGAGTTGTTTGAGATCATTGTCATGATCATTGCACAATGTCATTTGAATGATTGAAATTGTTCCATCAACTGATGATTGTTCATGACAAATCTGATTCAAGCGAAAGATCGAACCGAGCATGAAGAGTACTTCTGAGTCATCTTCACGATCGCTGAGTCCAGCAACTTTTGCAAAAGGTCTATTATTGTTGATCATGCTTCGAAGTATGCGAGGATCAGCATCGATTTCGAATAGTACTGGTACTAGATCATTAGACACCGTAGAACTAATGTTATACTCGAGGAATCTTAATGCAGCATGACGGTTCATTGTTGTCGATAAAAATGAATTCATTGAAATAAAGCTTCCCTTCGATTTATGTAATTGTTTCATTGTTTCTTTCGATATCATCTGTCCTCGATATACTTGAATTCGTTCGTGATATTGATGTGCACGTAACTGTTCGAAGATGTCTTGAATAAAAGTATGAAAACGAAACAATACGTCCACGTTTTGTAAATGTAACGCTTTGTTTAACATGCGGTAAACAAACGACTCGCGCGTAAACCACCAAATAGCCTTCGAAGATTGATATTCAATATCGAATTCATTCACTAGCTTCATTTCCGATTTATTGCCTTTGTATTCCTTCTTGCATAATTCAATTAATTCACGTTTATCTTGTGCACTCGGCTTCATTCGGATCAGAACATCGATCAGCAATTGAGAATGCAGAAATTGCCCGTTCAAGTCTGTTGAAGATCGGTCCAAAAAATTCAATGCCAATGGTTCTTCAATTCGAACTGGATACTTTTGACCCATCCGGATTGTATTGATCAATTCATCCAGTTTTTTGCAAACAGGTTTAATCTACAGTAAGCTAACAATGCATGGAATAGTCGAAAATAGAGATATGTACGTACTTTGCTGAATGGCCGATCCCATTGCTCATTCGCTTTTTTGTTAAAGCAGTAGGTATAAACTGTAAATACCTGTTGTAATTTCTGTATTTCGGGCATTACGATACGATCTAATCGACCATTTACAATCAAGATTGTAAGATCACCTTGAGAAATATAACGGACACGAGCTATAAACTCTTCAGGGCCGATCAATGTTCGTAGTTTGTTAATGATATTTTGTAATTTTTTTTGAGTCACCAAATTTTCTTCATAGTTCACTGAAGCATTCAAACAAAATATGCTGTATATTTCTCGATTGTTATCATCGTTATTTGTGTGTGGCATAATTGATGCCATTTTTGTTTTGTTTATATGTATATACGTGTGCGTACGTGTGTTTTGATATTCTTCTCTTACGTTAGCAATTCGAATGATCTTGTTTGGTAATATGACGTGCTTTTATGCATAACAATCGAGTATGAAAAAAAACTCGCTCTCTCTTTGTTTCGTCATCTCTGTCGTAGCTATTAAAAAGTTCTTATTTTTCGGTTTCACTTCAAGGTCACAGACAAGGAGAAAAAAAAACCTTATTCTCGCCCATTATCATTTGCTTTCTATTTCAACAATTCATATTTACCATCTTGAAAGCGAAGTGAATACTATTACACAGAAAAAAAAAAGTTTTATTGTGATTCATTTGAAGTATCATATATTCATCGTCTAGAGATTATTTTGTCTGTCGATAACTACATACACTTTGCATGCTTCGTCCTTGTTTTTAAACTTCTATCAATAAAACTTATCTCTCGCCGCTTATTGAAACTATCTTTTCTACATTGCGTCGAACACGTTTATTTGTACGATGTTGCTTTCTTTCGAACGCCAATGACAATGACGCAATAAAGGCTTCATTCTTTCTGCACAGATATCTAAGTGTGGAATATAATCAGAGAGATTGAAGATTTTTCACTTGACCTTCTCTCCAGATCCTTACGTCCTCTTCAAAAACAGCCACTTTTCGTCAAAAAAAAAACAATTAATATTAACATAAATGCATTGGAAGATAGGTCAAGATCTAATCTTTCATAAATGATATCATTTTTTTATTCACCATCTCGTTTTCTGCCAAAATTCTCTGTGAGCTTTCATTCTATATATTTAGTTTTTTTTTCCTTTGAAAGAGTATGACACGCTTTTGATTTAAGCTCCGTTAATATTATATAAAAGAGTACTTATATAATTAGAGCGCTATTTTTTGCGAGTTTTTTCGAGACCTTGAACTTTTCTTCCCTTAAGAAGTAAGAAATTAAAAACAAAGGCTCTCTCCTGCTCTGTATCCTGACATGCTCTTTTAGAGAAAAAAAAAATTCATAAAATAAAGGTCCGCAAAGAATTTTGAGTTACTAAATAATCTATTTTTTATCCTTGTTCGTTGAATATCCTTGAAAACATCATGCTATAACGCTGAAAATTTTATCATAGTCTCTCCACTATAGTCCTCATATATGATGAAGATTTCATGCGATTTAAATGTACCTGACTCAAGATCAATTGTTGAGGATGGGCTTAAATGAATTTTAGTGAAGTCGAAATTAGATTCGCTATGTGACAGTACTATTTTCCGCAGGGATCATCGAATAGAAATTCTCGTCTTCCGCAGATAGGAGAGTGCGAGCGTGCGACGATGGCAGCTTTCTTGTCACAAACACACACAATCGCAGCTGATTCTTCGGCTTTCGCATAAATTCGGATGCTATACATTTAGGCTGGTGGATGGGGGTAGGAGGAAGTCGAGGTGTAAGAAAACTTTTTGAGAGCTGAAAAGGGGTATAAACATTTTTCTAAAAGTGGAGGTGCTGAATTTTCTTTTTTCATTTTTCACTCTGAATTTTTAATAAACAATACGATTTTAGCTGGAAAAAACTGGAAGTTTTCTTAAATTGGGAAGATGCGCAACACTCCCATCCCTGTCTCGGATCCTCATGGCCACATCCCTACTGAGATTCACACTTTGTTTTCTATTTGTCATTGCTCTTAACTATTTAATTTCCGCCAGTTTTCATTTTCTTTTTAACGTATAATGCTAATATGGCTGTGTAAGCGATAACAAAGCTCTCATCTTAACTCGCATTTCCGCGCACATCCACAATCTTTTTACATGTAGATGCACTCACGGTAGTAACTTATGGAGTTTCAACAGCAGGATGAAGCTGTCAGCAGCACGAATATGAAGTGGATATTCACCAATATTTGTTGAAGACTGCATTTTTTGTTGTCATTATTGCTAAGATGTTTTACATACAAGAACACTCACGAATATGTGTTGATCTCGCGTCAACAATAAAGTGAAAATGTCTGTAAAACGAATACTGTATCGGCAGACAAGGACACTAATTTAAACGTTCGTAACTTTGAGCTTGATAGTATGAGTCGAGACGAGGACTTACCAACTTGATGATATACCAACGAAACGAGAAAAAGAGTCAGTAATTCGCGGTACTCGAATTATGCATATTCTTCTTACAGGATAGACGCATTAACATAACACCAGAAGAGGCATGTCATCTGCGAACAACGGATGTGCAGCAAAGCAAAGTGCACTTCACAATGAATATTGTTAGAACATCATAAAACACAAATTTGCATCTGTGCTTTTTCTTTGAGTACGATTGTATGCCTTTGCATATACGCGCACATCCAAATCTACGTACAGATATTCGGAAACATCAATTCCTCTTAAATAAATCAGATGTCTCGAAGAGTATTTTTGGGAGACCCTACGACATCAAGTCGAGCCGGCGCTTTTGGTTTTTTCTTAGGTTATATTCTTTCTAGGGACACAGATGAACATTCACTTTTATTTATGTATGCCTACGCATAACAGCCTTATTCAGGAACTTCAACAGACAGTGAAAAACACTCATCAACAGTATTCTAGCAAGAGAAAAATATATATATATTCACTAAAACGCTATACGAAGCCATTAAGAAGCCGATTCAGTGCTGTGCTTTTTGTATTCTGTTTGGAGATATCCTGTTTCACAGGCAAGATTACCTATGGACACACATTGAGATTCGTCAAGTGTTACGAATAGTCAGAGACACCAACCGAAGGTCATAGACATCGTGTGAGTAGCAACATGAAATTAATTTCGAAACAAATATTTTAGGGATACATAAGGACACTGATTCGTGGTGCGTTTAATATTAAACTGGAATATATTGACAATATCTTCTACAGCGGAATCACTAGTTATGCCAACTTACCCTTCGATCGTGAGATCATAATGACTGAGACAATCATGAATGATGTCAATATTGTTGTAAGACTCGCTCAAATCAAGATGAGCGACTAACAGATACTTATTTTGAATAGCAAGTGATTTCTCATAGAAGTCAAGTCCTTTCAACTATTTGTTCTGTTCCTGATAGATGAGGTTGATGTTTTTGTCGAATCTAGCGATCTTCACATGATTTTCATGGTGTGCTTGTTTGAAGCGTGAGGATACGGGTATGATGATATGGTTTGTGTGAGCATAAAGCGAAGATATTCATCTACACCTATCTACACTCAACCTTATTTCAAAGTCCTCAGTTATTTAAAGTTTCTTTTTGTCAGTTGAAATTCTTTTTTCTTTTCTTTCGATGTCTAATGTTTATTTTAAAAAAAAACATACTAAGACTATGTTCAATACAAAAAAAAGAAAGCTTAATCATTAAGATTAAGACTTTGATCAGTCTGTTGAACAAGAAAGTTGATTTTATCGTTGAAAAATTGCACAAAGTCTGTTCTATATAGAAATTCAGTAGCAGCAAATAAACATCTTATAAGATCAGAACAATACATAATAGCTTGTGCATAATTATATTTGTACAATAAATATCTCCATAATAAATCAATATATTTATCTTGAATATTTAGAATTTGTTTAATATTTGATAAATTCATTGAAGGTATATTTGAATAAGTTGTATAATTAATAGTTGAAAAACAAACAATGGCAAGAAGTAATTTTATTATGACTATATCAAACCGAATTCTCTCTACTATACGTTTAACAGTAGGCACTACAGTTGGATGAGTAATAAGCGCAACAGTAACATAAAAAGCAGGGATATTCAATAATCCAGTCATATAATGCATAAAATTTGTCGAAATATCTGCTGTATGTTTCATTGTACTAATGAGTAAAGTAGAACGATTATCAATAGATAATGAAAGAAAATCTTGATTATTTTTATCTCCTTTCATTGCAACCTGGAAATATTTGATCAATGCTTCATTTTTAAAACGTGATTTAAGAGGTAAATTATTTTGTTCATTCATCAAACATAAACCTAATGATAATTCACTATGTTCATCATAGCAATGAGATAGATTTGAGAGAAGATTCCATTGATCGACAGTTAATGTTGATTGATCTGATCGTAAAAGATTTAAACTTGAAAACTAAATATAAATAGAAAATAAATAATTTATGAAAACTTTAATAACAAAAAAAAAAAGATTTCTGCTACGACCTGCATCTTCTCTACATCCAGTCATAAAATTTTTCATCGCTATTTTGTATAATTGTTGATGTTTTCTTCTGCTCTTGTTTTCATTTCGTTCTATTCAATCATCTTTTCCTATCCTTGTTCAATATCATCTATGGAAATTTCCATTTATGTTCACTGTATTCAGTTTTTTTTTTCTATTTATCGAATGATGTTTTTTTCTACAAAGAAAAAATAACAAAAATTAAGAATAGTCTCACCTATTCAGGTTGATTTTTTTCTACATATAATAGTACTTGTAGTTTCTGTTGGATTGACTGTTTCAGTTTTTTTTTTTCTTTATTGTACCCCTTTTCGAATAAGATGGTCGAATCATCTCAATTTGCATTCCACTTGTAAAACATTTACGAAGTCGACAAGAAGAACATACATGACGATTATTTATATTTATTTCACAATCATCATCACTATCGCATTTAAATGCATCCTTAACAAAAAAAAACCCAACAAACAATGAATATAATGAAAATAAAATTGATTATTTTCAATTGACCTGTCCTAGTTGAGCATTTCGTTTAAAAAACATTCTACATGGATTACATGATTTAACACCATAAAATGAATATATAGCTGAATGTCCACAAATTTGACATACACTTGATGCTGTTGTTGACTGTTGCTTTTTACTGATGAATTTATTCGACGATGGTTCTTCCATAATTAATATATGTTTTAAATTGATTTCAATCTAAAAAAAATGAATGGAAAATATTGAAATGATAATGTTTAACAAATATTTTGTTTGAAAGAAAAATAATGAAAATGATTAAGAAATATTTGGATCATGACGATTATTCACTAGATACGAGCTCTACACATTCTTTTCTAACTACAAGAAATATTTATATACATAATATTCGAGGAATACCTACAATAGAAAAGAGAAAAAACGAAAAAAAAATGAAACAAAACAGACTCTTTTTCTTTCCTTCGTCAATAACGAACGTAGCAGCGTGAAGAAATATGTGTCTTATAATAGTCGGGGTTAAAAGAACACCTTCCAGTACAAAAATAGAGAAAACAGCAATCTGACCTTGTTACTCCCTTCACATATACTAAGAAGAAGACGATTTTCTTTACTTTATCTTAAGTTAAATTGAAATTTTTTTCGAATGTTAATACTTACGATTGCATTGTGTTTATCCTAATGTCGATTGAAAATTGAAAAGAAAAAATTTTCTATATAAATATCAAGCATCTTCAACACTCGCTGAATATTCATAATTTGATATTATTTCATATCGTTCTTGTGAAACAATTTTTCAATACAATATTATTTTCTTTTATAAAATCTATCAAAATTTGTTTTTTTGTTATTGTGAAATTCTAGTTTACACTTCAATAAGAATTCATGCAAAATATTTTCTTTCTCAAATTCATCTTTAAAATAATTAGCATTGATTCAATAGTCAATTATTCTTCTTCAAAATTTGTACGATATACAACATGAAAAAAAAATTAAATGTTCTCTTCGTTGCTTGGTCATGTAATAGTTTTCGAGAACATGTGTTTAGGATATGTTTGCCAGTGATTTTAATGCAAAATTAAGATTTTACTAGAGTATAACTCTCGTAGAGACAAAAGACAAGATGTTATGAAGCAATTCATGTTGTCCTCAGTCTTCTTTTCTTGTTTTGTCTTTGTATTCAAGATTTTTAAACATTCAATAATGCTTTTGAAATCTCAAAAAAAAAAAAATGAAGATTTTCCTCAGAATAACCATGATTTTTTCGAGTATTAATGATGGTGTGAATGTGAGTGTGACCAATAAGAGGAACATGAACAAAGGTATTCTTTTCTAAAGTCCAAATATTCCAAACTACAAATATCGTTCGATAAAGATTTCAATCATGCGAATTAAAAGAAAGAAGTCATAGTGTACCCTTCGGAAAATTGTTAAAATGGACTTTTTAGTGCTACAATAAAAATATTCGTCATTGCTGTGAAGTTTTATCTAAGAAATGTGAAGATGTAATGATACTAACAGATATTTTCAATCGACTTTTTATTCATTTCGATCCGTTCATAAGAAAAATTATTATTGTCAAATTTACAAAACGGCAAATACATTCAAAGACATAAACGACTAAATTGCAATTATTGAATGAAGATAATGAAATATTATATAATCTATTGCTCCAAAAATGAGTCGATACATTTGATACCATGATATCAAGTCGTACATGACCTTGAAAGTTTCTCTCTCTTTTCATGTTTTACATTGAAAAATATTGTAACAGAAAAAAAAATAAAAAACATCAAAAGGATTTTAAAAAGTAAGAAATGCAAAGAAACGAGTTTTTAAAAAAAATATTGAACCAACAACTACAGTTGTACATTACATTTACTGTGATCGGAAATCAAGTACTTGTAACAATTCTCAGCTTATAGTCAATAATCGGAGTTTAAAAAAAAGCTTCTAATTCATTGTAACTTTCGCTATAACTCATGAATTTGTCAGAAATTAATAAAAGGCTATTTCTCATTTAGGAGTATGAAATTAAGTTTAAGCGAAATAAAATTGTTCTAAATTTTCTGTTGATCTAAAGTTGACAATTTTATTAGTTTTCTATAAAGCGAGTAGCGTTGACAGTTAGCTTTTAAATATTCGACTAATGAAAGTACATTATGGAAAATAAATCGTTCTAAAATATTTTTACAAAAAAATGACTACAATCTACAAAGGACGTAAATTGTTGATCAGAGAAAATATTTAAACATGAGTTTTTGTTCAATACAGGTTTTTTTCTTTATCTTAAAGGATAAAATGAAATAGATAAAGAACATTAACTTTTAACCAAAGAAGTTTTTGATTGATGGTACATTTGAGATGAGATTTAGAAAGTTGTATACGGTTGGAAAAAATATTATTCCAGGGGGGGTAATGCTATAATTTCAAATAGAAGATATAATGAATTTTATATCAAATAAAAGCTCGTCAAAAATGGGGTTTATTGATACTAAATAGTGAGGCTTGTAAAAACTTTCTAATGTCAAACTTACGAAGTTTTCAGAAATTTTATATTTTTTTGGGATGGAAAATCAAGGTGCCACTGATTCAAAAATGAAGTCAATTTTTTTCTTGAATATTTTTACATGGTTTGATAGACCTCGTTGAGCTCTACAAAACTGTGCATGTTAAAAATTTTTTGAGGCATCTTTTTGAGATAAAAAGTTCAAAAAACTACTCGGGAAACCTCAAAAACATTTAAAAACTCTTTTTTTTTTTCAGATTGAAGAAACACGCTCAATTTTTCAATAAAAGTAGCTTTTTTCGTTGTTTTTACTACCTCAGACGTCTCGAAATATACTTGTTCGATGCAGTGTGAAAAGCTGCGTCTAATGAGTATGATTCGAAACGCTTGACGGAGTAAAAACAATGAAAAAAGCTACTTTTATTGAAAAAGTAAGTGTTGTTCTTCCACATGAAAAATATGAATTTTTTTCATGTTTTCTAAGATTTTCCAAATAGTTTTTTGAATTTTTTATCGCAAAAAAAGTGTCTTAAAAATTTTTTAATGTATACAGTTTTATAAAGCTCGACGAGCTCTATCGAACCGTGTAAAAATATTCAAGAAAAACATTTTACTCCATTCTTGAATCACTAGTACTTTAATTTTCCATCACAAAAAAAGTATAAAATTTCTGAAAATTTATTAAGCTCGACATTAAAAGGTTTTCATAACCCTCACTATTTAATACCAATAAACCCCATTTTTAACGAGCTTTCATTTGATATAAAATTTATTATGTCTTCTATTTGAAATTATAGCGTTACCCCACCTGGAATAATATTTTTTCCAACCGTGTACATGAAATAGAAAATAATATGATACTTTTTCTATAAATATTAATCATAAATTGTTATATGAGACATAATTATATGCATATAATAATTCGTCTTCAAACTAGTTTAAGTTTTAAATTAAATTATTATTATCGACCGAATGTAAGATGAGTTTTATACAAGAGAATTAAATATTTTGGATAGATATTGACTAGCTGATTTTCCAGATTGACGACTACGGACTTCGTAAATAGTCGTATTTTAGCAGTTTACATGATCCAGGATTACAATAGTAAATCGCCGTGATCGTATATGGAGAAATACGAAGCAAAACGGAGACTGTATACGGACTCCGTATATGACCGTGCTTGTTCGACTTTGATTATTTTATTTTTGTTATTGATAAAGTAATACTTATAATGTACGAGCAAGAGTCATCGGTTTGAGCTTGACTAAGAAGAATTTTAATCAAAGACAAAACGATATTTCAAAGAGGTTCTATCGTAATTTATATTAGTAATACAATATTTGGATTACCGGAACTTCGCCAATAAGACTCTCACCAATAGGACATTCACCATTAGCGAAAGTTCGGGGATATATTGGCAAAAATTCATTGTAGCTTTGCCAATTGACGAAATTCTAGAGGATGCGCTAGCGAAAGTACAGTAGGCCTTCGTTAGCTGTCACAAAATAATTTAACACAGGATACATGTGAGAACTGAAGCTAATGGTATTAGAATAGATATATTATAGCTTACACTCATCAATGTAGTCAATTGGAACTTTTTAAATCTTTGTCTAATGCAGAATCAACTTGGAAATATTCTAGGAGGTGTATTGATGAAAGTCTTATTGGCGAAATTTGAAATTCCTCAATATTTATTGCGGATGTAAAGTGATTGGATGGATGTGTGTGCGTGAATAGAAGACGCTTATCAACATCCATATTGCAAAGTCATTTTTCTTTTGAACATCTCTTGTCTGTATTTTTGTATATAAATGCTCTTGCACGTCGACTACTATCAGCGCCAAAATATAATGAACTCGGATGTTTTTTAAATAACTTTTGATAGGAACAATATAAAAAAGACCTGAGCTTGTCACCATTCAATAGAAAACACTAGAAGCCGCCAAAGTAAGTCGAAATCTGGTCGGCAAACAATTGACCAATCAAATGAGTTTTTGGCGAGTGTTTTGAAAATGAGATTCTGAAGTCATTTTCCATTGAATTTTGACTTGTAATATAGTATATCTGCAGGAAAAAGTCTTCTCCTTCGATCTGTACAAGCCCCAAATTCCTTGCACCTTCTGTTCAAGAGTTTTTCTGAGACCCTCAATTTCATCAACTTCAACTTGAAAATCTACAAAAGAGCTGCAGACATGGATTATTGACTACATGAAATCGAATGATGATGTTTATTTCCAGTTTCAAAGTAACCTGTGACCACTATTTAAAGACTTTCAAATTTATTTATTTCTAACATCTTTAAGGTTTTTCCTTGATATGAATGCTGCTGCTGTCATTGTCTAAATAATATTTGGAACATACACATAATATAAAATCTTATCAACAAATAATAAATATCTAGAAATCGAAATTGCCTACATTTGAACGAAACAATTTGAACGTTCTTCTGACAATGATCTAGGCTATGTAAATCTCTAATTAATGACATAACAAATAATTCAAAAGAAGAACAATGTACATATGAAACTTCGAGAAAAAGAGAAATAAATAAATATATCAAAACTTGTTCGACTAAAAGTTAAAAATGGTAAATCGATATACAAACATTATTACAATTTTGAAAAGAAAATCAACAAATACATATTTTTATTATCATTTCTTTTTGTTTTTGAATTGATCG